CCCTGGCCGCATTCCCGGCACTTTCCATCTGGATCCCATCAGCTCCAGCCCTTTCCCGCATCCCACACAGCCCGCGGGACCAATCCCGCTCTCCCGCGGCCTCCCAGCGAGCGGGCAGGAATTTCCTGCCCAGCTCTGGATGATCCCAGTGAACATTCCCAGCTCTCCCAGCCTGGCTCCAGGAGATCTCCGTGGTCTCCTCTGGAATTTCTCCTCCCAGATTCACGATCCCAGGGCCACACAGGGCAGGACCCTCCCCCTTTTCCTGCTGCCCAACTTCGGGATCATCCCAGGACAAATCCATTTCCCGGGATCCCTCTCCCCTGCCCCATTTTGGGGACGAATCCACCAAGCCCGGAACTGTCTCTTCCCAATCCCGATGTCTGGATGTGAGGAGCCGGGGCCGCATCCCTGGCCGCATTCCCGGCACTTTCCATCTGGATCCCATCAGCTCCAGCCCTTTCCCGCATCCCACACAGCCCGCGGGACCAATCCCGCTCTCCCGCGGCCTCCCAGCGAGCGGGCAGGAATTTCCTGCCCCGCTCCGGCTTTTTGGGATTGTTCCACATCCGAAGTTTTCCTCTCTCCCGGATTTTCGGGTGTTTGTTGTTCCTGGAGGCCGGAGCATCCCCGAGCCTTTCCTTGGGACCGGGCCAGGCTTGGCCGAGCCGGGATCAGCAAATCCCAGCCTGGGGTCCCGCTCAGGGCTGGGAAAAGCTGGGAATGAGGGAGGGGGAGGCTCCGGGAGAGCCAAGGAATGTCCGGGCTCGTTAGTGAGGTCACAACGGGATATCAAACCATAATTGGGATGTGGAATCATTCCCGGATATCAAACCATGGCTGGGATATGGAATCATTCCCAGATATCAAACCATGGCTGGGATATGGAATCATTCCCAGATATCAAACCATGGCTGGGATATGGAATCATTCCCAGATATCAAACCATGGCTGGGATATGGAATCATTCCCAGATATCAAACCATGGCTGGGATATGGAATCATTCCCAGATATCAAACCATGGCTGGGATATGGAATCATTCCCAGATATCAAACCATGGCTGGGATATGGAATCATTCCCAGATATCAAACCATGGCTGGGATATGGAATCATTCCCAGATATCAAACCATGGCTGGGATATGGAATCATTCCCAGATATCAAACCATGGCTGGGATATGGAATCATTCCCAGATATCAAACCATGGCTGGGATATGGAATCATTCCCAGATATCAAACCATGGCTGGGATATGGAATCATTCCCAGATATCAAACCATGGCTGGGATATGGAATCATTCCCAGATATCAAACCATGGCTGGGATATGGAATCATTCCCAGATATCAAACCATGGCTGGGATATGGAATCATTCCCAGATATCAAACCATGGCTGGGATATGGAATCATTCCCAGATATCAAACCATGGCTGGGATATGGAATCATTCCCAGATATCAAACCATGGCTGGGATATGGAATCATTCCCAGATATCAAACCATGGCTGGGATATGGAATCATTCCCAGATATCAAACCATGGCTGGGATATGGAATCATTCCCAGATATCAAACCATGGCTGGGATATGGAATCATTCCCAGATATCAAACCATGGCTGGGATATGGAATCATTCCCAGATATCAAACCATGGCTGGGATATGGAATCATTCCCAGATATCAAACCATGGCTGGGATATGGAATCATTCCCAGATATCAAACCATGGCTGGGATATGGAATCATTCCCAGATATCAAACCATGGCTGGGATATGGAATCATTCCCAGATATCAAACCATGGCTGGGATATGGAATCATTCCCAGATATCAAACCATGGCTGGGATATGGAATCATTCCCAGATATCAAACCATGGCTGGGATATGGAATCATTCCCAGATATCAAACCATGGCTGGGATATGGAATCATTCCCAGATATCAAACCATGGCTGGGATATGGAATCATTCCCAGATATCAAACCATGGCTGGGATATGGAATCATTCCCAGATATCAAACCATGGCTGGGATATGGAATCATTCCCAGATATCAAACCATGGCTGGGATATGGAATCATTCCCAGATATCAAACCATGGCTGGGATATGGAATCATTCCCAGATATCAAACCATGGCTGGGATATGGAATCATTCCCAGATATCAAACCATGGCTGGGATATGGAATCATTCCCAGATATCAAACCATGGCTGGGATATGGAATCATTCCCAGATATCAAACCATGGCTGGGATATGGAATCATTCCCAGATATCAAACCATGGCTGGGATATGGAATCATTCCCAGATATCAAACCATGGCTGGGATATGGAATCATTCCCAGATATCAAACCATGGCTGGGATATGGAATCATTCCCAGATATCAAACCATGGCTGGGATATGGAATCATTCCCAGATATCAAACCATGGCTGGGATATGGAATCATTCCCAGATATCAAACCATGGCTGGGATATGGAATCATTCCCAGATATCAAACCATGGCTGGGATATGGAATCATTCCCAGATATCAAACCATGGCTGGGATATGGAATCATTCCCAGATATCAAACCATGGCTGGGATATGGAATCATTCCCAGATATCAAACCATGGCTGGGATATGGAATCATTCCCAGATATCAAACCATGGCTGGGATATGGAATCATTCCCAGATATCAAACCATGGCTGGGATATGGAATCATTCCCAGATATCAAACCATGGCTGGGATATGGAATCATTCCCAGATATCAAACCATGGCTGGGATATGGAATCATTCCCAGATATCAAACCATGGCTGGGATATGGAATCATTCCCAGATATCAAACCATGGCTGGGATATGGAATCATTCCCAGATATCAAACCATGGCTGGGATATGGAATCATTCCCAGATATCAAACCATGGCTGGGATATGGAATCATTCCCAGATATCAAACCATGGCTGGGATATGGAATCATTCCCAGATATCAAACCATGGCTGGGATATGGAATCATTCCCAGATATCAAACCATGGCTGGGATATGGAATCATTCCCAGATATCAAACCATGGCTGGGATATGGAATCATTCCCAGATATCAAACCATGGCTGGGATATGGAATCATTCCCAGATATCAAACCATGGCTGGGATATGGAATCATTCCCAGATATCAAACCATGGCTGGGATATGGAATCATTCCCAGATATCAAACCATGGCTGGGATATGGAATCATTCCCAGATATCAAACCATGGCTGGGATATGGAATCATTCCCAGATATCAAACCATGGCTGGGATATGGAATCATTCCCAGATATCAAACCATGGCTGGGATATGGAATCATTCCCAGATATCAAACCATGGCTGGGATATGGAATCATTCCCAGATATCAAACCATGGCTGGGATATGGAATCATTCCCAGATATCAAACCATGGCTGGGATATGGAATCATTCCCAGATATCAAACCATGGCTGGGATATGGAATCATTCCCAGATATCAAACCATGGCTGGGATATGGAATCATTCCCAGATATCAAACCATGGCTGGGATATGGAATCATTCCCAGATATCAAACCATGGCTGGGATATGGAATCATTCCCAGATATCAAACCATGGCTGGGATATGGAATCATTCCCAGATATCAAACCATGGCTGGGATATGGAATCATTCCCAGATATCAAACCATGGCTGGGATATGGAATCATTCCCAGATATCAAACCATGGCTGGGATATGGAATCATTCCCAGATATCAAACCATGGCTGGGATATGGAATCATTCCCAGATATCAAACCATGGCTGGGATATGGAATCATTCCCAGATATCAAACCATGGCTGGGATATGGAATCATTCCCAGATATCAAACCATGGCTGGGATATGGAATCATTCCCAGATATCAAACCATGGCTGGGATATGGAATCATTCCCAGATATCAAACCATGGCTGGGATATGGAATCATTCCCAGATATCAAACCATGGCTGGGATATGGAATCATTCCCAGATATCAAACCATGGCTGGGATATGGAATCATTCCCAGATATCAAACCATGGCTGGGATATGGAATCATTCCCAGATATCAAACCATGGCTGGGATATGGAATCATTCCCAGATATCAAACCATGGCTGGGATATGGAATCATTCCCGGGATACCAAACGGCTGGCAATGTTTATCCAGCTGCTCCGACCCCATGGCATCACCCATTTCCATGGATCCTTTTCCATTATTTCCTGGTGCTTCCTCAGGAATCGGGGAATCCCCACCCCCGACCCCCAAATGAGGCGTTTTTAGCCCCAAATTGTGTGTTCCACCCCCAGATCGGGATTTTCTTCCCGAAATCCAGGGGTTTTGTTGCCCTTCATGGGACCTGCGGTCAGGAATTCCAGGAGCACCAGCCCTTCCTCTTCCCTCTATTGCAGGATGCCTTACTGGGGATTTTTTTGGGATTTCCATTTTTGGGAGCAGGGATGGGAAATGGGATATCGGGAGTGATGTGATTCAAAGAGGGATGGGGATTTCTGGGGATTTCTGGGGATTTCTGGGGGTCCGGGGACATCAAAGAGGGATGGGGATTTCTGGGAATTTCTGGGGATTTCTGGGAATTTCTGGGAATTTCTGGGTGTCTAGGGGCATCAAAGAGGGATGGGGATTTCTGTGAATTTCTGGTGATTTCTGGGAATTTTTGGGGATTTCGGGGGGTCCAGGGGCATCAAAGAGGGATGGAGGTTTCTGGAATTTCTGGGAATTTCTTGGAATTTCTGCAGGTCCAAGGGCATCAAAGAGGGATGGAGATTTCTGGGAATTTATGGGGGTCCAGGAGCATCAAAGAGGGATGGGAATTTCTGGTGATTTCTGGGAATTTCCGGTGATTTCTGGGAATTTTGTGGGATTTCGGGGGGTCCAAGGGCATCAAAGGGGGATGGAGATTTCTGGGGTCTGGGGGCTGTGGGGGGGTCAACAAACCCCAAAATTCCATCTCCTCTCTTCCCAGGCGAGCGCGGCCCCAAGGGGGACAAGGGGGACAAGGGGGACCGAGGAGCCGCTGACGGCACCGGTGAGTTCCCGGGGGAGATTTTCCGGAATTGGGAGCCTGGGATGGCGGGGGGAGATTCCTGATGCGAAGAGGAATTCCTGAGGCTGGGAAAACCATCCCGGGGTTCTCCTGGCAGGGCGAGGAGGAGCCGGAGCCGGGGAAGGTGGAAGGGGACGGGAAAGGACCGGGAATGCCGGAGGGAGGAGGCCGGGAATGCCGGAGGTGTCCTCCAGGTGTGGGACACTCTGCCTGCTGCCCCAGGGACATCCCAGCCTGGGGACATTCCCCATGGAATTCCTGGGATATCGTTCCTTGGGGACATTCCCCATGGAATCCCAGGGACATCCCAGCCTGGGGACGCCATCCCTGGAGATGCCACCATGGATGATGTCACCACGGGTGATATCACCATGGATGACATCCCCATGGCTGCTGTCCCATGTATTACGTTCCCATGGATTGCATCCCCATGGCTGTCCCCGTGCCCGCTGTCCCCATGGCTGTCCCTGAGGCTCCTGTCCCCGTGCCCGTCCCTGTGCCTGTCCCCATGCCCGTCCCCATGGCTCCTGTCCCCATGGCTGTCCCCATGCCTGCTGTCCCCATGGCTGTCCCCATGGATTACATCCCCCGTGCCCATCCCCGTGCCTGTCCCCATGGCTCCTGTCCCCATGGCTCCTATCCCCATGGCTGTCCCTGTGTCTGTCCCCATGGCTCCTGTCCCCGTGCCCATCCCCATGCCCATCCCCATGGCTGTCCCTGTCCCCAAGGCTGTCCCCGTGCCTGTCCCTGTGGATTACATCCCCTGTGGCTGTCCCTGGTGTCTGTCCCCGTGTCTGTCCCCGTGCGCGACGCGGTCCCGGTGCCCGCAGGCCCGGCCGAGGGCGCGGTGCGGCTGGTGAACGGCTCCGGGGGGCACGAGGGGCGCCTGGAGATCTTCCACGAGCGCCGCTGGGGCTCGGTCTGCGACGACGGCTGGGACCGGCGCGACGGCGACGTGGCGTGCCGCATGCTCGGCTTCCCCGGCGCCGCCGACGTCTTCCGCATGGCGCGCTTCGGGCAAGGTGGGGCCCGCCGGGAGCCGGAGCGGGATTTGGGATTTGGGATTGGGATCGGGATTGGGATCGGGAGCGGGAACGGGAACAGGAGTTCTTCCGCATGGCGCGCTTCGGGCAAGGTGGGGCCCGCCGGGAGCCGGAGCGGGAACGGGATTGGGATCGGGATCGGGAATGGGATCAGGATCGGGAACGGCTCCTCGGGATTGGGATCAGGAACGGGATCGGGAACGGGTCCTCAGGATCAGGAATGGGATTTGGGATCGGGAACAGGATCAGGAATGGAATTTGGGAATAGATCCTCAGGATCGGGAACGGGATCAGGAATGGCTCCTCAGGATCAGGAACAGGATCGGGAACAGCTCCTTGGGATTGGGAACTGGATCGGGAAGGGGATCGGGAACAGCTCCTCGGGATCGGGAATGGCTCCTTGGGATCAGGAACAAGACTGGGAATGGGATTCGGGAATGGCTCCTTGGGATCAGGAACGGGATTGGGAACGACTCCTTGGGATTTGGAACGGGATCGGTGAACAGCTCCTCAGGATTGGGATCGGGATTCAGGATTGGGATCGGGATCAAGACTGGGAATGGGATTCGGGAATGGCTCCTTGAGATCAGGAATGGGATTCGGGATCGGGAACGGCTTCTCGGGATTGGGAACGGGATCGGGAACGGCTCCTTGGGATTGGGAATGGGATTTGGGATCAGGAATGGCTCCTTGGGATCAGGAACAGGATTGGGAACAACTCCTTGGGATTGGGAACGGGATCGGTGAACAGCTCCTCAGGATTGGGATCGGGATTCAGGATTGGGATCGGGAACGGGACTGGGAATAGGATTTGGGACTGGAAACTGGATTCAGGATTGGGAACAGCTCCTGTGGGATTTGGGAACGGCTCCTGTGGGATCCCGGGGAATGGCTCCTTGGGATCCTGGAGCGGTTCCTGTGGGATTTGGGAACGGCTCCTCGAGGAACCGGGACCTTCCTGACCCCGCTGGAGCCCCGGGAGCCTTCAGGAGATATTCCCTGGGATCTGGGATTCAGGGGATCTGGGATTTGGGGGATCAGGGTGGGGATCCAGGTGGGATCAATGCTCCTGGGGATCCCTTCCCGGGCTGGAGATTCCCTAATTCCTTTGAGCTCCTGGGAAAAGCGGCTCCGGGAGCGCAGCCGGAACCCTCTGGAGCTGCTGCCCCTCATCCCCACCTCAGGAGAGCTCGGGAAGTCTCCTCCCACCACGGCTCCACCCACCCCACCTTTCCTTGGGCACCGCCAGGGATCCAGGGATCCTCTGGGAATT